GCTGCCAACCTTGCCCATAAAAACAAACTCAAAACCGTCATTGTTACCGACAGTTTGTTTGTATTACAAGCTATTCGGTACCCTTCGACTTCGCCACAGGAGGACCACCCGACGGAAAAATTAAAATGTTATGTGTACCAAGTCACATCGGTTTATTGGGAAATGAGCAGGCTGATCGACCAGCAAAGTATGCTGCTTCTGCTCCTCTAATTATGGAGGATGTCATGGAAAAGTTGGATCTTCAAAGATACATTGGAAAAAAAGTTAAAGAGAAAATTGCAGAAGGAAATTTACAATACCATCATCAACACTGCTCTTCCATTAACCCTCAATTAACTCTACCTTTATATCCAACAAATGTTGTGAAAACCAAGATCCAAACATTTTCGAGAATTCGCCTTAGTCATACAACTGCAACTCACCAATGGATCTTGAAGAAGTCTTCTCCCCCAATCTGCTGTTGTGGACAAACTCTTACTATAAAGCACATTCTCTGCGACTGCCTTAACTTTTCCTTGGCTAGAAGTATTGCATTTGGAACGACTAACCCTTTGGACATTCTAAAGTTAGCTTCAGAACCGAATATCAATTCTATATATTACTTTATTAATACTACTAAGCTCATTATCTAATGTACATTTATTTAAATTAGAGCCGATAGCTTGTGCTGCTAGTGGTCAATGTCTTTTTTTTTTTTAGTCTAAGAATTTATTTCATTAGTCTAAAATTATAATAATAATAATGATAAACGCAATAGACAACCGCGCTGCCATATTGTTTTACAGGAAAATATAAGCAAGAACGTATGGTCCCAGAACTAAAAATAAGGGAATCAACGTAAACAACAAATAAAGAAGATTGATTAGATACATGTTGGATATATTTGTGTGCATTAATTGATCCATAATTTGGAGACTCCTATTTATCGCTTTCTAAAAAACAGTTTAGGCAGTGTATTTCAACATTAAAATAAACGGTCTTTATTGCTTGTTCTTCATTTCATATGAAATATGATAACGTAAACCCAAATTGCAAATCAAATAATATAAAAAAATGTTAGTGCAAGATCAACATAAATTAGATAAATAATTTGCAAATTTAAAGAAAATTGCCTTTATTTCTTCTTGTGCGCCTTTTTTTTTCTTCATTAGTATGTATACATGCAATATGGTATGATTTGTCTATTCTCATAAAGCTTTGTAAAAAGTCAGCACAGTTGAAGTTCCATTCCGAAAATGGAAATAATGTCTCATCCAGTCCATTAAAGTTAAGTCTATAAATATCTTTATTAGTTTCTTTCATCAATTTGGAGACCCATTTATCGACTGGTTGGAGATCTCTTCCGGATGGGTCATGTGTTATCAGGCAATTAAATGTTGGAAAAAGGTAGTTTTAATTTCTAAAATCTTTTGCCAACTTTATATATTTTTCCTTAAGGTTCTTTTTGTAATAGCTGCAAAAAATTCTGAAAAAACTTTAAAAAGGGGCATTATCTACTATTTTTACTTTTGGTAGGAAAGGTTATCTGTTGCATACTGTCTTTATGTCCTGACATAATATTTTTACGTTCAGCTTTAAAATATATTTTTTTTATTTTGGGGTAAAAAAAGATTGTTTTTAAGTTTTACTTTGAGCCCGGCATGGAGTTCCTACGTTTTTTTTTGTTAACACATAGGTCTTACCTTAGGTCATAATACAGCCACCATGTAGTGAAACGCCCTTTTTGTACTGTTCACTAAAAGCTATTCTAGTTTTTATTTAAGTTAGTATTGTTAAATTGATGAGTTGAATACTTCTAATGCTTCTTTGTAACTTGAACGAATGTGCAGAAGCTCCTTTTATATAGCTAGTGCTTATGCATAATATCTTACATGGTACGTAATTATAAAATAGATTATTTTCTAAATTACTTTAAATTTAGGTATTTGGTTATTAGTTCATTTAGGTTATAAAATTACATAAAAGTGTCATTGTTACATTATTGACTTAAACTATTGCATTTGAACAAATAGACAAAGCATGCATAAATCAAATAAATGTAATAATATTACCTTGCAATTAATAACATTGAAATTAAAGTAAATTAAATTGACAACACAATAAAATACAGTATAATAAAGTAAAAATAATGTATTAATAAGTAATATTCAATTTGCTCAATTTTACAAGGCCACATTTTTCGTTTGCACTTCAATTTGTGGTTTTTATATATTAACAGCCCTGCTTTAGCTCAAAATTAGGTTTGATATTCGACAGTTTTATTATTACCCTGCTTCAGAATATGAAATTTGTTAAAAAGCGACAACGGCGGTGACAAAAAACTCAAGCACAACAAAAGGACTTGCTGATTAACCAATTGTCTTAGTACAATCATTTTTATACCATAAATATTTTGTCATTCTTTTATATTGTAATGTAATGAAGTTAATGAATATATAATAAATCAATGAAAGGAAATTGAAGCTTTTTTAAACACTTGTCTTTATTTTCTCCAAAATTGCTAAAAAACTTTGCAATTATTTTTTCTTCCATTTTTTGACCAGTTCTCTTTATATAAATTTTAAAAAATTTTCCCTTTATATCGTTACCATATAACTCGTTCTCATAATAAGAACTCTCAACCACTTGCTGAAGGGTAGGTATATCGTGTTTTTTGAAATCGTCATCTCTATGCTTAAACATCAGAATACTAAAAAAGCTCAAAGAGATTAAAAGACCAGTTTTAATGTTGTTTTCCAGAAATGTATGGTTATGGATCTATAAATGATTGTGCTCAGAATAAAGCTGGGAGTGTGTCTATTTATGTATTTGATGGCAGTTACATTAAGATTTTTTCCCAACTCTTTCTTTCTTCTACTGTAAACTTTTTTCGAAACTGGCATACATAAATAAGCAAATTTACTTTAGTATAAAACACAACTACGTTCGTTACATACCATAAAACTTATGTAATGTTGTTCTTTTCTTTTTCTATAGGTGACAAGTGACTATAACGTTTCAAAATTACTTTATATACATAATTATAAACATATACGTTTTTGGACGTAAACATTATTACAATTTGATTCCAAAACTAGACGTCAAATGGTCCAAGCTCATCTCCATAATCTAACATGTCGTCATCAAAAGTTTCATCTATATCATCTCTAGATTCTGGACATTGCCTGCAACGACTTTCATTTAAACCGTAATTAATACATGTCGAACCTATACATTCACAGCAACCATCATGGAACCATCTGGAAATGAATGTTTTCACTTATAATAATGTTACTAGTACCTAACCACCTTTGCTTTGGTACCTGTAACTGCTAGCACCTGTACTTTGACAAATTTGCCGACACTTATTCCACGATGTACATTGATCTAAGAATAGCACTGTGCAGTTCAAAGTTAAAACATTATTCCTTTCTCTAACTGCCTCGTCACGATTTTCACCACTGGTTTCTAAGTGTAGCCACAATTACACATTATTTCGCTTTTTTAAATAAATATACTTACTTAAATAATATTTAACATCCTTGTCTAATTTTGCAACAGATAATATAGTATCAAAGTCTACGGGAAACGTAAGCCTGTGCCAATTGTAATTAATTCCGTCACTAAATGCAAGAACGTTAAACAAGTCTGGAATGCCATTAAATTCTTCTACGTGCGATAGCAGTGAATTTCGCGTGCCATTTGCTTTTACACATAACTCTACAGGAGGAAATTGCAAAAATATTAAATTATTTTCAGATAAGTAGTAGAAACGGAAAAATTAAAGTAAACACATTTTCATTATTATATATTCCCAATAGCAGCAGATATAAATTCTAAATAAGGAATATTGGAGAAAGACTAATGTAGTATGAAAAACTTGCTTATAGTTACGTTTGGGGACTCTATATGTGTAGCTCAAAAAAAATGTTTTATCGAATTATGCTTTCATGAAAAAAGGAAGGAAGTTAATGGGAGTAAATATTATTTTCTACCCTAAAAAAGAAGGGAATACATCAAGTTTCAACTCTAAAACTGATAACGACAAAGAGACGTGTTTAACCGTGACCGAATCTTTTATTCTCTCCGCAATTATCCTAAAAAAGACAAATAAAATAAAAGAATTAAATTTTCATGGTCTACAATATGAGGCCGCGATTGATTTTCTATTTTCAAAATACAAGGTTTGTCGCATAGGCGAGTGAACGTTATAGACGTTTGCTTGGAAAAGTTTATGCCACTTCCGATTTCTTTTGCAAATTTGTAGGCGATATCTTCATTTTCGCTAACGGGAGAATGTTTCCAAAGATACTACGTAATTGTTCAAACGGACGGATGAACATATGTATAGATAGATAGGTGCATTCCGAATTTGAAACTGGCCAAGAATTTATATACTTTATACGGTTTTTGAACCTTGCTTCTGTGCGTTACGCATAAATGTTTTGAACAAAAGTTAAGCTAAGACGCCATGTAAAATTAAGGAGGCGTGATCGATTTTATTAAAGGTGTTACAGCGTTACGTTCGAATATACGTTCAAACTGTTGTACATTTATCTGCTATAGTTTACAAGTAATGAGCAAAAAAACATTTTTTTTTCCTTGTGAAAGAAAGAGGTGTTCTTAGTTTATGTAGTATTGTTGACAGCTTAATTTTTGCGACCAGGAGAATGTTTACAACACACATTACACAGGCGGGCATACTTAAATCGATTTAGAATTTGATGCTGATCAAGAACGTATATACTTTATGGGGTCTGTAATGCTTCTTTCTAGGCGTTGCAAACGTTTTGACCAAATCATTGTACTCCTCATCCTTTCGTGAAGGGTATAAAAATAAAAGTGTTTTACATGTTCATATTTCGTAACTTCGGCATATGCTTGTTTAGATAAATCCAATTTTCGCGTACGTGATACATTTGCGATTTGATTGTATACAAAAATTAGGTACATTTGGTATAATTACTGCAAGAGTTTTAAAAGACTGACTTTTACTTCCTTTTTCTTCTTGCTTACCTACACAACTGCAACATTCTTCGTAATATTCCTTGCCTAGGCATATCAAACATTCGTTGCAGCAGGTACTGTTTGTTAGTTCGCACTTGCAGCTTTGCATTAGCATGCATTTAGATACAATTGAAGCACATACAGCTTCGTTGCAACACTCAGCAGAGTTAAATAAAAACAAAAATCCAAGTAATGATAGAAACACGGTCAGTGCCAAATTTCGCAACATCTCCATGTTAAAATGACTATACTTGTTTTTAATAACTAATAAAAGTTATTTACTAAACATACATTCTCACGGTATAGATAGAATTATATTATTAATTTTTCACTTTGTACGATGTAAGCAACGTACGGCATTAATATATGCTGAATAATTTAATGGAAAATATACACATTAAATTCTAGTCTCAATATATATGTTAGGACGAAAAGACCACTTCTTTCCTCCCGCTATAAGCGATAAACTAACACGAAAATAATTTTAGTATTGAGAGTTGTGTCGCACACGTTACTCTTTTGACGTTTCAAAAAATAAACAAAATTGACAATTCTTAAATGTGAAGCTAACCCCTCCATTTGTGTTTTACAAAAAATCGCTAAAAAGCGAAAGCCAAAAAACTCACCTCTGTACACTTGGAAAATATTAAATAATACCAGCAGATGGGAAAAAATATGCTTATTTATGCAAATAAAAACTGAAGTACTTTAAACAGCATTCAGTGAAGTAACGCTATCATTAAGAGGTCAAAAACATGGTTAATGCTTCTATCGCTAATTTTTTTTTCAAATTCAATATGAGGAGAGCGACATTACTTCCTGCGAAATAAATTTGCATTAATAATAACTAACCATACATAAAATAGATAACAGCCATGTAAGAAATAAGTGCAAAGATCTATAATTGACTTGGTTTTTTCATGCATGCTTAGTATAATTTGCCCGTGGCTACGTTTGTTTGACAGGTTTTCGGTAAGTTGGGTACGATTGCACGAATTCGATTGCGTAGAATGAAGATGTAGTTTCATTTCAGATTTCTGCCGCTAAAGCCTTAAGGAACCTTTTATCCGGACGATATAGCACGTCCATTTTGTATATTTTTTCGCTGGTGCGCTAAAGATTTAACAGCTAACGATTGTGAAAAATATTTTGAGAACAGAAGAAGTTAACAATCATTAATTATTGAGAAGAGATTTTTGAGGGTTCTAAACTTATCGCTTTTTGTTTCATTTGTTCTATACACTTGTTCATTAGTTAAGCGATAATATTAACTTTGACTTCTTGCTTTCTAAAGAGTAACGAAAAGTTTATATTCTTTGATATTAGATTTGAAAGCATTTCAAACTTACACCTTGAGGATTTTTTTAAAATCAATAAAATTAAACAAAATAAATAAAACGTACTATGAGATCCTTGGTTTTATCTACCTTGTCCTTAAAAATAATTTCCTTTTTTTGCATTTTGTTATACAATTGACTGTTAAAAGTTTTTTTATTGATCCTTACGTTTAGAAACACTCGGATTTTGTAAAAATAAGCTGGGATGTTGTTTTCTGATTCTAAGCAAATGAAAAATGTAAATGTCCTTTTTTTAAATATATATACTTTCATTGTAATTACAATTTTTTACGGCGTGTTCTTACAATGTATTTTGAGTCTCAGATATAGAGATCATACTTTAAGGTTTCAAGTTTTCACTGACCTACCTTAAGAATAACGCAATACAATTACAAACTATAAATAAATTGGGTAAAGCGACGTATATAAATAACGCATTTTCTTTATGCTTTCTTGCAATGATGCAAGACATTAAATAAGTTGAATTGCACCATTTTAGCAAAATCATGTTTTGAAAGTCTGACTATATGACCACATTCTTTTATAATTGAAAAAATATTTATTTACAATGAAAAAGGAAATTAAAATATTCTTTATTTCGATAAGAGTCTTGTAAACATCCCTTTTCTAACAATCATTACACCCAAAAACTTCTCGAATTGATCACTATTTCTTTAAATTTTCCTCTATCCGCCAATTTCAACATTACTTCCAAGAATTTGTCTTCTTTAGCCTTTTATTTAGAAAGCCCAAGTTGTAATCCAGAACTACACAAGGTACGGTATCGGTAGGAGGTGTCACACTATCAATCAACTTTGTCAACGATTCAACATACAGATTTATTTCAATTCTCCAAAAAAGTTCAAATATGGTTTTAGTGTAGAAAGAAGAAATTACATAAACTACTTATATACTTATACATATTTGCATATTTACAAGTTAATTTATGGGAATGTTGTCAGATAAGTGACAATTTAATACAAATTTATTTTGTGCCTTAATAATTTTTGTTTGGAATGAGTCTACATTTATTATTTTATATAACGCTTTTGCAAAAAAGTACAGGCAAGTTCACCATCATTTTCAATAATTTATGTTGGCATGATTGCAAATTATTGATGTGAGTTAAAGCACAATTGCCTCTTACTGAACAGGCATACAATATAATTGATTAAAAAACAACTTTACATTAGGAAATTTTGTTTGCGGTGCTTATTTTAGAATTTCTGTTTACGACTTTTCATGGCATTGTTGTATTTGTTTTTGATGTGTTGAACATGGTTGCGGAAGATTAACTTTTTTTCAATGGAATTCCCAAGTATACAGCGTAGTCAAAAAAACATTTTATTTGGTTTACCAAACCTTCCTTCCTTTTTCGAGCAAAAAAGAATGGCCTTTGTCGTATTTGCATTCATCTTTATTTTCAATACATTCAGATAGTTGAATGCTATAGTAATCACAACTTACATCTTGTTAACTATTTCACAACCAAGTTCTACGATGAGTGTATATCAATATCATCAATGTATAAAATAACGTGATAATGGTTAAATTTTGAAAAGAAAATCGGCCGCAAAATTTAACCCATAACAAGTTATTACGTTGCATCTGCAGGCATGAATAGTAAATAAAAATTCATCCAAAAGTGAAATGCAGAAATGTTTTTTAGATAAAACCCTTCGAATTAATTTAACTTTGGAAAGGAAAAAATCAAATGTCTTTTAACATTATCCTAAATAGAACCGAAAGCTTTTTTTCAACGTCAAAGAAAACTCAGCCAGTGAATACCATTATTATTCTAACTGTAATGGAAGACTCCTAGATCTTTGTTTGGTCAATTTTCCGGGATTAGTTGTAAATAGTTGTCCATCCATTAATTTAACTAAGGATCCGCATCATCCAGCAACTTTTTTATCCTTTCATTACACGCAGCATGGCTCGTTAGATCACTCTAACATGGTAAGTCCTACTAGCACAAATTTACAATATAATTTGAATGTTTTACTGCTGAAATCTCATCTTTCACACGTTATGTTCGATTTTTCTGCTGAGAATATGGAAATCCTAATATTTTCGATTTATGTATTAAATTTGGCTATTTACGCATCCGCTCCGATTAGACGACCGTCCATTCGAAATACTTGCCTACCGTAGCAGGCCTAAATATTTTTATAAATTTGTTTGCTCCGCCGGCTTTTCCCAGCTTTGTCTTTTTTAATAGCTCCTACTCCTCTGGTGAAATTGAAAAATGAAATCTCTTTGCAGAATGTTTTCGAAGTAATTTTTCTACCAGTAATACCGATTTAGCTAATAATTACTCATATCAAACCAAAAACTCGACTTCGATTCCGAATTGGGTTAGCTCGGAAAATGATTTGTTGTAAGGTCTAACGTAACTAAAATATAATCGCGCGTCAAGGCTTAATGGCAATCTATCAAATCGTACTCTAATTAGCTATGTAGTGTTACATAATTATTTGAAAACAGTCGTCTTCTCTTTGTGTTGAAGAAGTAGTTTCCTTATTCTACAAATATGGGAACAGACTTCTCGTCGAGAACTACTGAGAAATTGAGTGTCTTACCTAAACTGTTAGAACGAGTTGTCACTTAGCAATTAACATGCGCCATCAAATCTTATATTTCCGCATATCAGCATGGCCTTATGAAAGGAAGATCAACAATATTTATCGGCCAACGGTGTGCCTCTTTGATTGTTGTGTACATCCTTTTTTTGTTATTTACTTATGCAAGAATTTAGTGTTTTTGTTGTTTTTCTTCATTTTTATTTTTACATCCGCTCCTGTAAGATGGGGGTATACTCTCTTTGTTTTTTTTTTTTTTTCATAAAATATGTAACATTCAAAAAGAAACTTGAAAGACCCTATAAAGAGTATACATTATCGATCAGCGTGAAATTTTGAGTTGGTTTGGTCATGCCTGTCCGCCTGTGTGGTATTTGTTGTTGACACTCTTTTGGTCGTAAATACGAAGATATCGAATTCAAATCGGCTATGCCCACACAAAGCTACAAGTAATTAAATTTAATCTTTTCCAGTTTTTTTGGGTTTTATTCTTATTTATCATAAGGCAAATAAGACAAAATTTACATTTATTATTATTATTATTTTAATTTTAGACTAATGAATTGAATTCTTAGACTAAAAAAAAGACATTGAGCACTAGCAAGACAGGCTATGGGCTCTAATTTAAATAAATGGATATTAGATAATGAGCTTAGTAGTATTAATAAAGTAAAATATTGAATTGATATTCTGTTCTGAAGCTGATTGTAGAATGTTCAAAGGGTTAATCGTTCCAAATGCAATACTTCTAGCCAAGGAAAAGTTAAGGCAGTCGCAGAGAATGTGCTTTATAGTAAGAGTTTGTCCACAACAGCAGATTAGGGGAGAAGACTTCTTCAGGATCCATTGGTGAGTTGCAATTGTATGACCAAGGCGAATTCTCGAAAATGTTTGGATCTTGGTTTTC